TTAAAGTCGATTAGGTGATATTTAAATTGATACATCCATTTATATTTTGGCTGCAGCTGTACAACTGAGTGATGCAAGGGCACCGCGCCATATACACCCCCCACAAGACCTCCTCAACCCCCCCAGAAAACACCCTCCACACACCTCCCGTCTCTCCATACGTCTCCACCCCATTCCACACCCACTCAACCCCCCCTTCCCGAAAACACACACATATTCTCCACCCTCCCCATACACACACCTCTCTCTCCACTGCCTCACACGTGGAGCTCAGAGTGCAACCTTCCGGCCGGTCGGAGAAACACTCCCCAGTGGGTGACAAAATACAACAGCAGGGGCCGCTGTGACACCCCTGAGACCTGATCCGCGTGTCGGTGACACCAAGCCGACTTCACAACCGGTCCTGAGCTCCGCCGTCTCCTGTCGCTCGTCCCCTGGTCCGAGAAACGCCCCGGGGCTCCTGCGGACAGACTAGAGACACCGGCAAGCGCAGAGAGAGTCGTCTCTAAAGGCACCACGTGGTGTTCGGGGCACCGGGGACACACCGGGACCCCCACCCGCCGGGGCAGGTTTTGCGGGATGATTAAGCAGCGACGTGCTGAAGCGACCATGCCGCTCGCGCTCTGCTCCGGCGCTTTGATCCTTTTTCTCTCGAGTGAGTAGAGAGTGTTTTGGCGCCTGGACCCGCGCGGTTCTGCCCCGTTTCTAAAGGCACCACGTGGTGTTCGGGGCACCGGGGACACACCGGGACCCCCACCCGCCGGGGCAGGTTTTGCGGGATGATTAAGCAGCGACGTGCTGAAGCGACCATGCCGCTCGCGCTCTGCTCCGGCGCTTTGATCCTTTTTCTCTCGAGTGAGTAGAGAGTGTTTTGGCGCCTGGACCCGCGCGGTTCTGCCCCGTTTGAGAACGACGTCCGCTGGGAGCAGTCTCAGAATCCAGGCCAGGGAGGCCGCATTTCTCAGGGGGGCAGGCGGAGGGAGGAGAGCGCAGGGGTCCCCTGACTTAGGTTTCGTGGGGCTGCGATTACGGAAGGATTTTCAGGACGCGAGGAGCCGATCTACGGACCCGATTGGGCCCCCAAGCGCCCGTGAACCCTCCCGCCCCGCTCACTTGGCGATTTCATTCTGTGTTGCAGGCAGGGCCCAGGCAGACGCGGTCACCCAGCCGGCAGGCTCCGTTGAGGTCCGGGAGGGGGAGCCGATAAGCATCAGCTGCGCCTACAACTACTCCGGCTCCCCTGTCCTCTTCTGGTACGAGCAGCGGCCCCCCGGGCCTCCTCGCCTGCTGCTGACCCAGTACGAGGCCTCGGACGAGGGGGAGAAGCGGCGCCGCCGGGGGTTCTCTGCCACGCTCCAGAAAGACTCCAAATCCTTCCCGCTGGAGAAACGCGCCAGCGAAGCGGGCGACGCCGCGGTCTATTACTGCGCCTTGAGAGACACGGCGAGCGCAGCCAGCGCCGGAGCCGATCAAAAACCCCCGGCCGCGGGGCGCCAGGGACTGACATAGCGGAGCCTGCGGGTGCCCCTGCATCACTCTCAGCCTCGCGGTCCTGGGCCCCGCCCCTCCCCCGACGGCACCCTGGCCCGGGCAGCGGACGGGTCCCATCTGGGGGGAGGGGCCTGGGATCCCCCGGCCGCTCCGCACGCGGGGGGCCTTTGCGCGAGGCACAGGGGGCAAAGCTCGGGGCTGGGTCAGAATGAGCCGGGGGATCCGGGCAGAGTGCGGGGCTGGCAGGGAGGCAGGAAGGGCGATGGGGGGGGGGCGTCACAGAGACCCGGGCTGGGTTCTCTCCTAGCCCGGGGACACCCCGCGGGCAGAGATCCGGGGGAGGCGGCCCAGCCAGCCACAGGCAGGGCCTGGATCAAAGGCAGCAGCTGTGGCGGAAACGCCAGGGGCTGGCTGCGCGCAAGTGGGGCCCGGTTCCAGGAACCGTCCCCTCCCCGCTGTGCCCAGAACCCGCGAGCAGGTGCCTTCGTCCGTCACAGCGCCACTCCCACGCTCCGCTCCCCTGCTGTGGGGCCGGACCGCGCTCCGCTCCTGTAAAGGGGCCCAACTCGCAGCTGGGTAAATCCGGGTTCCCACGTCGGATTCAACGGCCCAGTCTCGGTGTCTGTGTAGCCAAGCAGGCTAATGGCAGATTAGGTTCCATTAGGAGGAGCCCAGTCAGCAGATCTAGAGAAATGATTATTCCTCTTTATTTGGATCGGGTCAGGCCACGTCTGGACTATTTTGTCCAATTCTGGGCCCCCCCACTAGGGAAAGGATGTGGACTCATTGGAGACGGTCCAGGAGATGGCATCCAAAATGCTTAGCGGGCTGGAGCGCATGACCTAGGAGAAGAGGCTGAGGGATTTGGGCTTCTTCAGTCTGCAGAAGAGCAGAGTGAGGGGGGATTCGAGAGCAGCCTGCGACTCCCTGCAGGGGGTTCCAAAGGGAGGAGAGAGGCTGTTCTCAGTGGGGGCAGATGACAGAACAAGGAGCAATGGGCTCCAGAGGCAATGGGGGTGGTCTAGGTTGGACAAACTATTTCCCTAGGCGGATGGGAAGCGCTGGGATGGGTTGCCTAGGGAGCGGGTGGAATTTCCTCCCCTAGAGGTTTTTAAATTCTGGCTTGACAAGGCAACCGGGAGCCCAGCTGTTCTCCTTTGGCTGCCCAAGTGATTTGGAGGCAGGAGAGGAACAGGCTGAGGGAGGCGCTAGCGGGGTGTCCCGGGGAAGGAACCAGCCCTGAGCCAGGATCTGGTTCGGTCGGGGGAGAGCAGCTTCCCCCAGAGACCCCAGCCTGATCAGGGGGGCCTGCAGCGCCCATCACCGTGCGGGCCTGGCCGGCCTGGGGACGCGGTGCGGCGCCATGAGCGCTCCAG